TCAGGCAGGATTTCCCTTATTTAGACAGCCAGACTTCTTTAGTGCATTTAAAAAAAAGTGCTGTAAGGTTGTTTATTTTTCAAGTGGGATTAATAAACTACACGGTAAAGAAGTAATCTCCATATCCTTTACATTAACCTGGTCAGCAAGCTTCACTCATCGCAAGAGCACAAACTGATTTATATAAAAATGACTGAAATCTATGCAAAGTGAACACAAACTGCGCTTTCGCAATAAAACAAAGTAACAATAGCCACCAGCGTTTGGAAGAGCGATCAGCTAATAAACCTATTTAAGGCATGTATTTGAGAATGACTTTCCCGAGTTGTGAAATAACAGATCTGGTTGCCATTTTTTCTTTTGAGAGTAAGAAGCAACTGGTTTTGAAAGTGCCTGTAATTACTCAGGCAAGCATCATCCTACCAACCTTACTTCCAACAAATGATTCAAAACAAGGGCGCTGTTTACGCTCCTCCACGGGCAGTGCTGGCGTGAGTGGGTGTCCGCTGCGGGCTCTGCCGCTGCTGCCGGGTGCTGCAGGTACAAGACGTGTGTCTCTGGGCGCTTTGAAAGCGTGGATCAGACAGGCTTTACTGCACGAGGCAGGCACCTGCACTGCCACGATTATTTGATCGCATTTGTCATAATCTCACCCCAAGTCATTTTCATTTGGTGAATACAGGATTGAGAGTGCGGGAGAACAGCAGCAAATATTTACCTTGTTCACAGAGCATAACTTCGGGTACAGCTCACTCTCTTGTAAGAAGGCAGATGTCCTACTGGGAGAGATCAGAGCCTTTCAACTCCACAGTTAGTCCTCATTTTGCACATCAGTGGTTCTCCCTTCTACTGCTTCTTTATATGCCCCAGACTCCTCTTCAGTTATCTTCAGAGGCAGCCCAAGCAAAAGGCTTTCCCAATCCTTAAAAAAAGTGCTCAGAATTCACAAAGGTCTTCCTGTTTAACCTAGTAAGAAGCTAAAACCTTGCTACACTTCAGAAAAAGCTCTCTCTGGCCTCTAAGTCTGGATCCTAACCTTGCATGGGACAGGGCGCAACACAAACCGTGCTCTGCCTCCTTCGGACCACAAGCGTGACCCCCGGTCTCAGACGTCCAGCGCTCGGCATCTTCAGGTCTCTTCGCCCGACTCTTAGGCCTCTGTTAAACCCCAGCTAAACTATTCCAGCCGAACCCTGTTGCCCTTCAAGGCGCACACACACACAACAACCATACGGCCGCCTGTGGCCTTAACGTGAGGATTGTCTTTGCGGGTTTTAGTTTGCTCTGAGCGGTGTAGAAACAATTCGCGCAGGTGAGCCCTCTGTACGAGCTCAAAAGCAGATGCACTTACAACAGTCACAAACCTGACTTTGGACCGAAGCCTTAGAAGCACAAACCAGAGATGAATTGACCTTCAACTGTCCAAAAGAACTGAATTCCCAAAGAAAAGAGGGAACAATTGCTACTTCTGAGACAGGAGAAGAGAGGTATTTGCTCAAGAACAGTCTTGAATGGAGCTGAAGTATACCACAATAACGTGGCCTGCCCACATGCAGTTAGAATGGTACTGAACCAGAGTGAAAAAATAGGTATTTATGTCAGAAACGTTACAATGCAAAGGAGAAAAAATAGCTCAGCCCACATATAACATACCCATGCAACAAAGAACAGTTTCCTTGAAATTCCTGTCAAAAGGCACGCTGCTACCTTCACGCAGATCCATCAGCTGTTCATATTTGAGATTCCAACAAACCAGACATGCTCTGACCAATCTCATTTCTTGGAAACAGGCAGTCCTGAGCCCAGCTGGCTGACTTGTGTAGGCATGCTGGTCACTGCTGTCATATTGCTGCTACATGAAATATTCTGGCAAGCTCGCAGCTATCTGCAAGCCCAAAAAGCCAGAACAATGTTCTCAGTAAAAAGGAATGAGCTAACTATGATGTTTCTCTTTATTTTACGCAACGTTAGTGTAAACACAAGCTAGGGCAGTGTCCTGACAAAAAAAAGTGAGCCAATGCCATCTGACAGGCTGTAGTTCAGCTGCAAGAGATGCACTGTTTCTTGCAAAATTATTGATGTAGTAAAAGAAGCATTTTTTACCACAAAGTGTTACTAAAAAGAGGAAAAAAAGAAACCTAAAGCTGCTTGCTGGAGTATCTCATAGGAAACTCTAGACAAAGGCCAATGGTGATTTATTTCTCCTAAACAGATACTGGTGTCCATGCTGCACCTTGGGAGAACGTTCGGAAAAGCAAGAAAAATAGACCACAAACCATGAGGAAGTATAAGGAAGGAAAGCAAAAAAAAAATAAAATTTTAAGCATACTAAAGAATAACTGTGACCTCGGAATTGCAAAATTTATTTAGAAAGGAAGGCTGGTCCAATAGCTTAGGCCTCAGAATCATCAGAGAAGTCACTTGTAGATCAGTTCACAAACATCCAATTAATAAGACTAGCACGGTCCTACCCCTGGGAGCACAGCCAAGACAAATCTCTCACGGATTGCAAGGCTCTCCAGCTCTCCACCGAGGGGTCCACTTCAGGAATAAGACAGCTAAACAGAGTTAGCAAGTGCCAGGAGTGCACCACTAACGCTGCTATTTCCAAGTAGCCTACTCACTTCTCCGAAGGGTTTGAGCTGTAGCAAATTGTAACGACACAAGCACAAGCCACAAAGGATTTCATAACCATTTTTGACTTCAGAACAAAAGAAACGGTAAAATTCTCCAGAGCCTCATCACCAGTGACAAATCACCCATCTGTGCAAAGGAACTCCACAATCACGGTGCAGAACACGGCACTGCAGGTGAGCTGGCCCAGCTCCTTCTTAAACAAACTTGGAGTCTCGACTTTCTGTAAGTCACCAACTCGTTACAGCAAATATTTTCTGGCTTCCCCAAGGAGCAAGCGGTACGAGTAACAGAAGGCGCACACACAAGGACAGGTTCAACTGAGAGCAATACAGTCTAGAGTTGCACAAGCTCAACTCACTGACTCCTCCTGCAACCTACCCTACCTTGTCCCAGCACACCCATCCCCTTCCGGCTCAACACCATCCTCCTCTTCCAAAAAGCAGAGCTAGCCCCTCTGTGAAACAAAGGCTGCACTAGGACGCTTCCTTCAACCCACTCTTCAACCTAGAGCTCCACAAGGCTGGATTCAACAGGGCTGTGTGCTGCTCTGCAAAGCAAACATCTCCTTTTTCTCCCAAGGGCTCTGGAACACTTTTGTCCTGTGAAGGACAGAGCTGTACAGCTCAAGTCCACCGCTGATAAAAGGCAAGAAGAAAGGGCTCCCAAACAGAACAATATAGAATAAAAGGGGCTGCGTGCTGAGGAGAGCTGGAGGTGTCCTGCTGATCAACTACAGAGGCAAAAGTCTGAGTAAATTGACATATCTCAAAGTCAGAATTTATCTGAGCATTTATGGTTCACCAGGTACATTCTGCACAATCTCCCTTTCTCGGAGTCGCACAAGGCCACTACATACATCACATTTCTTGCTTAGCATTTACCTGAAGTCAACCCCAAGTACCTTTTCAACCACATCATGCTTTATAGTCTGCAACGAGAACAAGTGTCACGGAACTGTTCTGTGTGGAAAAAATACCTGGCAACATCCCAAAACTCCTAACACACTCCCATTTTTTTGCACAGACCAGAAAAGTGGTGGGAAGCTGGCAAAAACAAATGAAATAACTGTAATTCCATTCCCTCTCAACAGTACATTAGCCTCCTCATGTTTGAAGAAAGACCTTCAATCATCTCTCCATCGCACAAACACACCTGTGGTTTGCTTTAACCGAAAATATTGAGTCTCAAACAACCTGTTCATGTTTAGAGCTTGGAATGCTGCACCTATATTTAGCTTTTCCTCGTATCTGTCTGCTGGGAAAATCTTTAATCAAACACAAGATGTTTAAAAGGAATCTCATACCATCGAGCCACCTGCAAACCAACGAACAATCCTGTGCAATGGCTGCCACCTAATGCTCGGGAAAGTAACTGCACTTACTGACGGAAAAGACAAATTTCAGCAGCTCTAGCAAGGATTTCTGTTTAAAATTTTCCTTTATGCTCTCACGAACAATGCACTCTCTTTCAACACAGCACAAAAATAGTATTTCCTCACGGAAATACTTCCAGTACTTTGTATTTATCTGGTGCTTTACAACTTCACACTACTACAGAAAGCAATCCCTTCATAATTACTGTTCAAGCAGAAAAGGGTGGAGAAAAATTACCAAGGTGCTGGTGAAATCCCAGTCTCACAACGAACTATCAGGACAGCAGCAGGTCACAAGATTTTGCTGCTTAAGTTTACCATTTATATCATCTATTAATCTCCTTAACCTGCACAAAGCCAAACAGCCTTTTGGTCAGGAAACATCACTGCAAGTTCAATCACGGATGGGGAGGTGATCTTGCCAGTCCTCTGCCCTGTAAGGACCAGAATTGTGCTTACCTGAGGCGGCAGTACGGAGCCTTTTCTGTCAGGGACCAGTCAGGCTTTCTGGGCATCACTAGCAGTAACAAGAGAGCTCATACTTCCATCTATACAGATTTTACTTATTCCACACCCATAAGAAAGGCAAAGATACCTTGGAAGTTTATATAAATGAACTGCACGTTTCCTCCGCCATACGATTTACAATCCATTGCAAAAAATAATAATAGGGGAAAAAAATATATATATAATGCTGTCCTTTTTCTTCTACACAGACAGTCCGAGGCTGATTATTTTCTACTACAAAGATCACTAGCAGGATGACACTGAGTGATATCAGATCTCAAATCCAGAAGGTCTTTTTTTTCTAGCTAAAAAGAAAACCCTAGTAATTTCAGCAAAGCCTATCTCGCAAGTACCATACTGCAAAATAGCACTCCCATTCAACTTTTGCCTTCGTTAAGGCATTTTTGTTTCTCCCACACATTATATAGGAAATTGAGCATAGGGAAAGCAAAGACATCACGTGAATAGAGCCGTCATTACTTACTTCTCCTGTGATTGGATTGGTTCCATATTTCTTTATCCAAGGAACAATGCTCCTGGAAAGAGAAGGGATAAAGCAGTAAGTGACAAGCACCATCAGAAGCCTCAACGGATGGGCATAATTATTTTTGCCAACTCACTAAGATGAAATTATGATTACACAGATGTAACCAGTTCAGCAACAAAAATAAAGTTAAGTACAAACAGGAACTTACAGTATGTCAAAGACTGTCCCATCTGGTGTGCAAACTGGGTATTCAAATGGCTGCAGCGACAAACTAGGAAAAAGGTACACAATCTCTTCAGCAAAATCGGTCAGAAATCCTGACGACAGAGGCAAATAACATTTTGCTGACACACTTGCACGTTAAAGCAATTCTATATCAATGAGTGGCTGCCAATATCCACTACCTGATTCTACACAAACTCGGTTAACAACAAAACCCATGAAAGGAACTGGAGCAGTTCAGCAACATGTGGCTGCCAGCACTCACAGCCATAGAGCCACAGGATGCTGCAACACTCCCCAGCCCACTTCCACTGCCATGGTGGGTCCCACCTGCACAAAGCAGGGTTCAAGCAGAAATACTCACTGTCTTTGCACTGAAACAGGCTAGGGAGTAACTGGCAATCCTATTCAGCAGCCCCTGCTAGATCCTTCCGTAGTGCAGCCAGCTTTTAGACAGTCAGAAGTAGTTTGTAGATGCGGATGGTAACTTCTTGAACTATTCAACTTAACACAGGATTTCTAACCCACCTTTACTAACTCCCCTCCTTCACTCCAGCACTTCAAGCAGTAAACTCTGAACACAAAAAACCAGCATAAATATTCATTCATTCTACCTAATCATTGCCTCAGAAAGACAAGTGATTGACCAAGAATATTACAAACAGGGAAAAGTAGATTCAAGCCCCAATTACACAGATTTGAAGACTGGAACGTATATGATAATTATCCTGAACTATTTTATTGCTCATGTATTCTTTTAGCCACCAGCTCCAATCTCTGCAGGCACTAATCATGGAAACTACAGATATTGTACCGTTCTTAAAAGTCAATGAAAGTAACTACCTAGGAAGAGCATCAGTATTAGTTCAATGTCAACAGCCTTATAAATAAACGCATCATTTACAATAATAATAATAACAATGTAGAGTTATTATCTTACCTGCAGTGATCAAATGATAAACGTCTAAAATTAGTTCGTGGAAGGTCTGTTTACAGAAAAAATACACGACAGAATTTTATAAATAGGTAACGTAGGCAGCAAAGAAACATTTGAAAGTCGCAGTTTGCTGTGTTTGTGGGGGCAATTTACAGATGACAAATACACTAAACCGCGCAAAACCGTAATTAACATCAGATTTCTCCTGCAGGGCACAGGCACACCCCTCAACCGAAATAATTCGGGAAAAAAAACCCCAAACTCAACAAAACAGAGCTCTGACAGACGAGCAGCCTTGAGTTTACGTCCGATGATCAAGCTCTGCGCTCCCAGCACGCCCAGAACTTGCTGCGGACGGGGAGAGC